CAGAGTGGCGCAGTTTATATGCGAGTTCTTGGCCCGCGCACTGCTCGGATATATGATTCTGAAATGTTAAAAAAAATATGTCGCGCTTCGCGTTCCCCACCAGCTTATCCAAAAATGATTTCGATGCCAGTAACCGTGAATTAGAAGCTGAGGAACGCTGATGGAACAAAGGGGAACCATCAGGCACCAGTCTCGCCAGATGATGATGAATCAAAGTTGGCCTTCGGAACAACGCGAATACGCCGATTCAGCTTCAAGATGACTGTGCGTAGCCTGTCTCGTCTTGACTTGGCCAAATTCAGTCCCACCCGCCAGGGTACACGATATTTGATTATCTCAATGTGTAGCGCCATTTCTAATGTTCTGGCGATGCGCGACCACGGGAATCCAGACCTCCAGGGAAAGGCTAACATTTGGCGCGCCATGTTCGCTAGGTGCGGAAGGTGCGTCAGGTGGTTGGGGTCGCTTGGCGCACCACGTGCGCCAAGTACGCCACGTGAGCCCAGTGCGACATGGGCCCCAGGTGGGCCACGTGCGCTAAGCGTGCAACATCCGCGGTCGCAGTTTGAAATGTGTGACAAGCCCGACGTTCACATCACATGTGTTTTTTGGCATGTCGCTGGGGGCGCCCCGGTGGTGTCCGACGCGCGCGCGCTTCGACTTCGCACTCGCACTCCATGTCGACACCAAGCTGTCGCACGGCCAGATGCGATGCAAATGCTGCACTCGTTTTGTTTACCCCAACCAGGAATTGCCAAGCGTTTCCCACTTCTGTGGCGCAGTATGCTGCATGGCCATGGCGTGGGGCGCCCAGCTTCGCTCGGGGGGGCGCAGTCCGTCGTGCGACGGATGCTGTGTTACGCCTTCTTGTACAACGCTGCGTTCAACATTGCGCTGCATCCCATCACGTAACTCTTTGCACGCCACCTGCTAGACAAAAACAAACAACAACAACAACAACAACAACAACAACAACAACAACAACAACAACAACAACAACAACAACAACAACAACAACAATAACAACAACAACAATAACAATAACAATAACAATAACAATAACAACAACAAAAACTTGGATCGCGCCAGGTGCATTCACTGTGACGGGTGAAAGTGGGGCGTCGGCGTATTGTTCGGGTCGCGTCGCCAAAACCAGTTCTAGTGAAGTGCGGTTAGTGGCATGTGTGTTCTGGTTTTCTATGTTCAACGTGTTCTACATTATGTTTGTGTTGTCTGCCTTCTTATCAACTTCGCCAGCGCGAGCACCCTCACAACTGGTGAAACAACCATCTGCCAGGACGCGCCGCAATTGCAACGAAAACCGCCGCAGGGCGGAGAGAGGAAAGCACAGCTCATTGAATTGGAGGGGTGAAGAAGGGGGAGGGGCAAGGAGGAGGGAGGCGGTGAGCAGGAAAGGCAGGGATGGAGGCAAGGGAGGGAAGGAGAAGGGAGAGAAATGAGGAGGGAAGGGGGGAGGCAGCAGCAGACAGGCGACAGGGAGAAAGAGGAAGAGCAGGGAAACCGTGGAAAGCCAAGCCCCAAAGGAGGCAACGCGCGGCGCGCGCACCCAGCTGATCGCACCAGGCGACCATGGGGGGAGGAGAGGGAAAGAGGGAGGGCAGGCCGAACGACGACAGCAAACAGGACGACGGA